AATTAGTACCTACTTACACACAGGAGGAAAATAAAAAATATTACAAGATTGTAAAGCTTAAATTCCCTAAATTAGTGAATCAAATAAATACCGTCAATTACAGAGTTTATCTTATTAACCAATTTCATGTCTCAAATAATATTTTATAGTTGTCGTGATGTATACAGCAAATACACTCAAAATATACGTACATATACTTCAAGTCATAAATTAATGATAAGTCATCGCGCGCTCTGACTAGATACCGTCGGCGCTCATGTAAAATGCGGCAACAAATACTACACCGAAATCGGCGTATCCAATACCCGTACCCGAGCCAGTCGCGTAATCGCGTTGTAGGCACTAGGCAACGTGTGAGGTGAACGTACTGAATGTTTTATTAAATTTTGAACATAATCCGAAGTAAAATACCAGTTTACGGATTGAAACTGTGTAAAAGTAATACTACAAGAAATAAGAAAGACAAACAGAATCACATACTATCATTAAGTATCATACAATTTCGAAATTTTAACATAAAATAACACGAGTCATAAATAAGTCACAAAATATCAATGATGCTGTTCAGTGTTGCTGCGAATGCAAAAATAAAGTTCCCCGTGGCTGAGATTTTTATATGTGAATTCATTGTTACTATATTTTATAATATAATATATTTAACTCATTATAATATAACCTAATTCTATATTATTTAATGTTTATTTCTGTAGTACTGCTCAAATGACATAATTGCCATTTATTAGGGTTCCGTACCCAAAGAGTATTAACGGGACCCAAGTCTCCACTATCGTTCCGTCTGTCTGTCAGTAGGCTGTATCTTATGAACCGTAATATGTAGAATTTTCACAGAATGTGTATTTATATTGCTGCTATAACAACATAAAATAAAAAAAAACAAGTAAAATATTAAAGGACCCAAAAAATCATGTTTCTTGTATGAAGACCATACAAGAAACGTGATTTTTTTCTGTATTGATATGTGTTTTGTTTACAGACTAAAGCGAAACCTGGATTAACACGCAATATAATGATGCTGTGTGTATGGTGGGATTGAAAGTTTATCATGAGCTTTTACCGCCGGGTAAAACCATCGATTCGGATCTCTACAACCAATAAATAATGAGACAAGCAAGAAATAGAAAAAAAAAACGGCTGGCATTGATAATCAGAAAAGGAGTGGTCTTTCATCATGATAACGCCAGATCACAAGATTAGTTATCTGTTTGAGACTTTCAATACACACTAACATTCCTAAAAATCCAGTATTTGCTTGAGTACTTAAAACTGGTTTAAAAGTTTTGGTCATTATTTTCTTTTGTTGCTTGTGTTCTTTAAAAGAAAGCTTTCTGGAGGTTTTAATGTTTAGGTTTATAATTTTTTTTTTCATTATAAATGGGATGACTAAATTCATGTTCCTTCAAATCTCTGGTATTGAATATATCAAATAAAACTACTTGTTGCATTTTTTTAATGAAAATCCCAAGATTTCTACAGCAACGTTTATTTTTTATTATGTCACTACTTACAAGATGGTAACAAATTATCGAACAGAATGGACCCATATATATTATGATTAAATGTAATAAAACTTTTAAACAAAAACGTCTTGAATTTGTATACAATATACGAAGAAACTTTTTCCCCGGTCTTATATACTAACTAAAGGTGTAACAAAATAGTACTTAATAACTTAGGGAATGATTCTGCCCGTCAACATGAATATTTTTTATTATGGGATCATCTTCGAAATTTTCAATTTATACGTGATAGACCCATACTGCAGCTATATTACTGGTATAGTTGTAGCACGAATAGGTCAGCTCAACCGGGAAAGGACCACGCTCTCAAAGAATACCAGTGTAAAATAGGAGCTTAACGCTGCTGTGTTTCCTTTGGTGAGTGTAGAGAACCGGAGACCCTTTTTACTGGAAACGAGGCATTCCATCTTAGTCCTCAGGGGTTGCAACGCATCTGCATTTTGATTCTTAACCGAGGATAGATGAATATGTCTATGGGCCACAGCAACCACTTACCATCAGGTGGACTGAGTGCTCGTTTGTCACCCTGATCCTATAAAAAATATCTCAAAGTCAGTTATTCCATATAAAATTTCGTACAAACTTGCTCAAAATGTATGGAAGTCCTGATTTTCTTGCGATTTGAAAGATAGATCTATAGTAAAAGTTGTTCATATTGACGCGTAGAATAGAAAACATTATTTTGATTACACAATGTATATAACTATTTTAGACATGTAAATAAAAAGATTAAACTGATAAAAAGGAGGCCTTATCATTTATGTCATTTATTCAGAAGAAAAACCTATATATAATATACACAAATAATATTATATATTAATACATGCGTTATTAATAAACTATTCATTTTTAAGTATTTCTAGAATACATTCATAACTATGAACTTAACTACTAAGCCATAGCATAAAATAAATTTTCCCGTTAATCGGGTAATAGTTAAGCTGCTGGCATATACAATCTTTCATGCACACTAGCATCATGCAAATTGTCTTATACACACTACAATATTAAGATGCCGCATTCATGGAGCTGTTACTTGCAGGTATGAAGTATAGAGTACAAGGAGAACCATCTTATAAGGGGCGAAAGTTGAAAAAGTGTCCTACTATTTACTGAAAATAGAGGTTCCAAAACCTACCACAATAGCGCTGCCGTCTGAAAAACTACGATATGAAGATAGCTGTTGTGAACGGAGTGAAGTCGGCTGAATTCAAATATTTAAAAAATTTCATGACTAGAGTAGGTTGTAAGATGCCAGTATACAAATTCCCAACTATTTACGTGGCACAAAACCAAGCGGATTGGTCGGTCCTTGTTTATTTCTCCATCTTATTCTAATTACTTTTGGCGCTTTTTTTTATTTATCCTATGCTACTGTAGCGCCACCCTTATTGGACGCGTTTTTAGGGACACATTTCATATATAGAGATGGTCCTCCTTCTCTCTACACTCCATAGTTGCAGGGAGTGCGGTATCTAGTCAGAGCGCGCGATGACTTATCATTAATCTATGCTCCAAGTCTATGACTAGTAGAAGGGTAACATACTTAAAGTTTCCCAGTAGTAAAAAAAAGTGCCATCTGTCATTCACTTTGAAAACTAACACGTTATTAAATTAGCACGTAATATGCGCAGCACCTTTTCATCTATGCACATAACCACGTTATTCTGGAGGGTAGAGGTACATATTATGTTGAGCTAGATGGCACTGTCTACACTACATTCATTCCATATAATACAACTACACTTTATTACAACACTAAATTATGTACAATATAATGTACATAATTCAATTTACTTACATTATATAAATTTGAGAATTTAGTGTTAGGTAATTAATTTAGAATGCTACATATTTCATTAATATGTACTTTATTGTTATTATATGCATATAATTTCATCATCAACAGCATTTTAAGTCCACGGCTGGATATGGATCCATTATGATGATTTGCCCACAGTCATCACGCTAAGCAGGCAGATTAGTAAGCGTTGATCCGACACCCTCGTACTGGTGATGATCACCAATTTTTTGAATGAAATTTTGGTTCAGATTTTGGATCGACTTACATCATAAATTGGTGATCAGAGACTTGTTCGTAAGTAAACAGGGCACTAACAACAACCTACTTATGGCAAAATGTCAGTCAATTCCTTACACTGTCCTTATTTGTTGTTTAAAACTAATTTAGATACCAAGTCATTCTATTTAAAATGTTGTTACTATAACATTACTAGAGGTTGGGATTCTTTCCCCTTCAGCCCGAAAATACTATAAAGATACCACTTTCTTGCTAAGCATGACAATTAAGGCTAATCCTTTAACAAGATATAAAGGTGTTTCTTAAGGTTAGTGACGACAACCAAAGACACTTTTTACTGATAAAAAGGCATTCATCTTAGCTGGGAACTACAGCAAATGATGACAATGCATATTTTTAGGTTTGTGATATTGCATATTATAAAGAAGTCTGTCTGCTATTCATTGGAGGTCCACTACACGAAAAACTAATTATAGTTGCATATTCATAATTGTGTACTAGTCCATCTGTGTATGTACTCTTAGCTATTTCTTTGTTTTGATGTGTTTTTTGAGAACTTTATGGAGCATTTAGCCAACTGTACTGTAGTGAATTTTGTCGAACTTTGTATTTCAAATATTTGTACATACATACATACATACATACATAAACACTCACGCCTGTCACCCAGAGGGGTAGGCAGAGACTACGGACTTCCATTTGGCGCGATCCTGACACACCTCTCTCGCCTCTTTTACATCCATATACACCCTTAACCGACTAGCGTGTATGCGTAGGCATACACGCTCATCGGTTAAGGGTACTCCTAATCTGGCCCATTTTTAATGTATCGCCGATTTGATTGATAAACCTTCATCTAGGGCGTCCCTTCCCGACCCTGCCGTTCACTTCTGCAACATAAATTTGCTTTGACACTCTTTCCTCGTTCATTCTTTCTACATGACCAAACCACCAAAGCATTCCTTTCTTAATCCTTGTCACAACGTCATCTTGCATTTGTATACCTTAAATATGCATGTTTCCTTACAATATTTTCCTTCAACTCAAAGTATTTGGCAAATCAGCACTTTAAATTGCACCTTATTGATACTAGCAGGTACCCTTGAGTTACTCACACACTATGAAATTTACAGCAAACACACCTAAGATCCTGTAGTTTATGTAAATTGTGGCCATGGCCGAAATTGATAAAGGGAACATTGTTTGACGGGACTTACACTTACATGTTATTTTACCCTTACACAAATACAAATATCATACATATCATATCAGCCATTATTTATTTAACACTTTCGTTATATTTACATAAATACATTCAATAAATTTACATTATCATGGGTTAAATTTAACATCTGGAATTTAAAAAAAAAACTATAAAACCTATAGACTTAGTGTTAATAGATATATAAAATAATGATAATTTATACTTTTTCATCTTCAGATTCTGTATCTGAATCAGTTGGAGGCCAAGTAGGTCTTGAATCTACATTTTCTTTATTTACAGATTCTAAAAATGAGTTTTGTGCCTCTATAACACTTTTGCTATCAGAGCAAGCACCATAAATATCTAATACATCTGAGTTCAACTCTAAAAATGAATGTCCCCATGAAAATTTAGATAAATAGTACTTCGCCTCCTGTTTATGCCCCGTGATGAACATAGCAGCTGATAAAGCTTCCACACAACTCAATTGATAAGGTTTTCCATAGTTAATAGGGTTCGCTGCTACCAGAAACGGAAGAAGTCTTGGATGTGGCGATTTCATACGTCCAAACGGTGTTTCATCTATCTTTGCCCATGAACAGTCTATCACCGCAAGACCAAATTTTTCAATAATATCTCTGTCGTTAGGGCTAACACATTGACTTCCCACTGGTGATAAAACAAGCCCTTGAAACCGTTGTCCAAGTTTTAAATTTTTTATTAGGTTATGTCTTAACAGTTTTCTACCAGAGCACTTTTTTGGATCACAATGGTTTAAATCCCACATGCAGATAGGGAATGCAGCTTCGCTGCCTTCTCCATTATCTGAATTATCGGAACACTGTGAATTATTTGAGCTCTCTGAATCACTTTCTTCCGAGGACTGCAAGTTAAGATCTTTTAGTCTTTCAGCGTAATTCCGTTGCACGTGATGATTGGAACGTTTGCCTCGAACTCCACCTCTTTTTCCTGGTGCCATATTAAATAATATAAATTTTAACGTGGAATACTATAACAAAAATAAATATATTAAATAACATAACACGTTGGCTTTGTTTACAAATAAAACTCAAATGTCAAATGGTCAAAAGTAGGGATGTTCGATGATCATCGATGTTCGACGATCATCGATGTCAAGAATGAAAACATCGATGTTTTAACATCGATGTTGCCACATGTCAAACATCGAAACATCGATGTCAATAAACTCATAATCGATTAATGGGTACTTGCGAAACCGCGAAATCAATATCAACTAAATCTTGCATCTCCTCTAAAGTATTTAAAATTTTGAATAATTCAGAATGCTTTAACGCATCGATAACCTAAAAATATATCATTATGGGGTATCAAATTTAACTGTCAAGTGTCAACTGTAATGTCGCAGTTGTCACTGATTTCGTTTGTTATTGGTGTCGTTGTTGGTTATCTGTTTCTTTATCGGTTGTTTTTTAAAAAATCCGATGGTTGATCTTAAACACGATCCAATGCACGTTTAGAACAATGTTATAGATTCTACCTATCTAAAATTAAAAATAAAACTTGCGGTGAGATATTTGACCACAATCGCTACATCAGCGCCATCTGAGCGGTTATCTACCAACTTCAAAAAAGAGGAGGTAATCAATTCTACTGTATGTTCTTTTTTTTTTAATGTATGTTACCTTATAACTTTTTCTGGGTGAACCGATTTCGATGATTTTTTTTTATTTGAAATTTGGTGTTTCACATGTGGTCCCATATAAATTAGAACCATATAAGTCTGACCAATAGTTTTTCCTTAAGTTAGTTTTACAAAATTTTATTTTTAAATTATTTTCAATAGCTGGCTCAACTCTTTATCAACAAAGAAACAGATTAAAAGGTACTTCTTTGTCAAAATTACTATTTCTTCAATCAATCGGCAAAAATATTGGATAATATAACAAATGAATTATATATTTATGAACTTCTTGCAATTTTTTTTAAATTCTGGTTTTATACTACATTGTTTATTAATTTCTTTTATTTAAATAATTATAAACCATAAACATGACAATTTTTTTAGTCATCTAATTCTAACCTATTAAATACATGTTCAAAAAACATCGATGATTTGAGTAGAATAAACAACGAACATCGATGTTGAGCTGTCGATGTCAACGAAATTTCTACAACATCGACCATCCCTAGTCAAAAGTTGTTGTTGTTTTTATTATTCGCTCGAGAGAGCAGGCAAAGAAACTATGCCATACAGCCTTGTCTTTTGTAATTATCCTTCATAGTTCACTGCTTCACAATATGTTGATGCGTCACATTGTACAGTTCTTGGGAGAATTTTGACGGCAACTTGATCCAGCAGACAGCTGACAGTTGGCGATGGTATCTAAAGGCGCCTATGCAAACAAACAGCTTATCTTGAGAATCCATCACCATCAGAGCACTTGTTTCACTGTTTCCACAAATAGTTCACATGCGTAGACACTTAATACACAAAATCACACCACTTTTACATATCAAAGTTCACTTCAAACCATTATTTAAACAATAATACAGGAGCAGCAAACCGCCGCCGGTCAATTTCCCGCCAAAACTCTAGTCAAAAGTATAGACGTAAAACGACGTAAAATAATATTTTTCTTTTTACAGAAAGTCAAAGGCATCCACCTCCATTAAGCCTATTAATCATTATATAATCCGACGTATGTTATTTACACAATTCTTAACAGGTCGATGTGTCACATTACGATTTTTTAGAAGATATTGACGACAGACTAACCCAGCGGATAGATAATGATGATCTAGGCGTCTAATCAGATAAGATTTGAATATCCGCGTCGAAGCACTTGTTACATCTTTTCCACTGTTATTTCATGTGAAATATGTTGCGGATTTGCGGATGCAGATTTTTTTATATCTGCGGATATGAATGAGAAAGTGAATTCTTTGAGGCTTACATTCGCTGATGCGGATAATGAAGTTTTAATAAGATATAGTTAGATAACTACTATAAAAAATGACCGTTGATATTTTTATATTATTTTTATTTAGCAAACAACTGTTATTACGAAAATTCCGCTCATTTTCTTATTGCAATTTATATCACATCCGATTCCACAAAAGCTTCCGAAAATTTTCTAACTTAATGCAGAAATTCCACAAATGTAGATGCAAATATCCGCAATATCTCAACGTAATGCTTATTTTGTGCTTATTTTTGTTCCTTGTTACCACATATTACTATATACCAGTTACGATTCACAAATGTAGGCAGGCAAATGTTTTAGATCATACAGTCTAGTTTGATTTGTATTTTGTTTACAAGATTCTTCATATTAATATACTGATGCGTCACATTGCGCAGTTTGAAAGATTTTTAAAACAGCTTCACCTAGCGGATAACTTAAAATTTAGTTCATCATTGAAGCACTTATTACATTACTTCCAAAAGAAATTAATCACACGCGCAGACTTTCAATCCACTTCGAACTATTATATATATTATTGACATATCACGATTTTATAATTATTTATCTTTTTTGGATGGTCGAGTGCAAACGTAGAGAGTCAACCCAGTCGTTATCGATTTACTAGTTTTCTCTTTCAGGCGTTCGTTTTGCAGAATTTAATTAAACTTAATATTTATGTACAATTTCAATGACAAACAAGAAAGTAGTAGCTTGTATTTTGTTTTATGTAATGCATATTAAACAAAATAGGGAAAAAATGTAATACATCGTTTCAACGGTGCTAGTGCACAAGTAAACAGTCGCGCATCTACTATTTAGTCGAGCGTATGCGCCTCCTAATATATGGTAGGTAATAATACTATGAGCTGTCTTACAGTTGTTCCACTGATTAATCCAAATCAATCGATGTTGTTTTTTTTTGTCGAGTAACTATCATAAAATATATTATGAAGACCTTCATATATGAACATAGACTTTACGTATATTATATAAACAGTTGTATGATTAAAAATAGTATGTATGCGCTTAGGCTAAATAAATGTAACAGACCTCTTCTGTATTATGAAGCAAAATATTAGAATACACATTTAAAATTTTAATGACACAAATAATGACGCTTAGACAAATAGTGTAATTTATAAATATCCTGAGACTTGCGGTTTTTTAATTTACTACGAAAGTTTTTTATAGATTATTCAAAATTGATTTCTCACGCGGAAGAATGAGCAGCGCCTCTATGGCCGGTAAGATTGTTTTGTTATATCGATTTGAATACGTTTTTTACATAATAGTTACGTATTTTACATAATATTTTTGAGTATAATTTTTATTGTGGTATAATTGTAATAAAAATATATTCTTTGTTTTAATGAGTTATACCACAAAACACGTATGCTAACATTACCATATTGCAAAGTAATAATATTTTTAGACTGTATAGCATTAAGTACGTTAAAGTTAAAAATTCTAAGGTATAAGTCATATCTGGGTGAGTACTAATACTAACATCATTATAATATATCCCGAGCATTTGAAAACTTCTGGCTAATACTAACAGGCATGTTGATTTTCAAAATCAATACACCTAAAAACTGATTCTTCAAAAATCACTCCTAAACATGAAGTTCATGACAATATTGCGATAACATTACCACTAAAGTCCTTCCTAAGTCCCTTGCTGAACATAGGCCTTCCCCAAGCTATGCCACAAAGCAAGAGCCATGCTACGCCACAAAGCAAGTGCCATGCCTGAGCCATCAGCATCCATGGACTTCTAGTAAATCTGACTACTAGAATTTCTTGACGGAAAAACTCAACTGATTTTTCGGCGGGTTTCGAACCCTCATGATTAGCTGTCACGTTTACAACCACTAGACCAACGAGGCAGTAAATTTTACATCAAGCATTAGTGTAATACATTATCATACCACAAAGATATCCTTTAGCAAACTGTGGAATACAATCTGCCACTACGTCTTGCGCATGTGGACTACGAATAAGCCTTTCGTTACGTCAAAATTTGGACGGAGTTACGGTCCTCTGGACGGGTGTCCACATATGATGGAATTGCTCTGAGGTGGTATCAGATTGACTGTCATATCGGCAAGTTCGAAGTGCTGAAGTGTTTGTACCATTAGGCTACAATATCTATCCGATTACATATTCAGAGAATGAAACCTATCTAAGTGCAAATGGATGTAGGAGAGGACGACGTTATTTCCGCGTAACTTTACCGCTGCAATGGTAGACAGCTAAAAAACAAACTTGCTAAAACAAGAGAAATTAATGTTTAGTGTAGTAACTCTGCAAATTAAAACTCAGGCCACGTGTATGTCTATTGAAGTTTATTTATTACAATAAATAATTACTATTTGTTATTCTGATAATTATTATTGATTATTATTGACGTGAAATAGCAATATTGACATAATACAATATGATATAATATATTTTACAACCTGAACCTCTTCAAAGTGCGTGTGAACAGGCTCCTCCTGGGTCTCCTGGGAACAGGTCAAAAGTGAGCTAATTTTTAATAAAAAAATAGCTATATCTTCTAAACCATCCGGGACAAATTTAATCGACTTCAAGAAGGCGATGATTCTCAATTCGAGTGTATGTTTTTTGTATGTACGTTACGCGATATCCTCGCAGATTGTAAACCAATTTTGATGATTCTTTTTTTATTAAATGGGTTACACTTCAAGGATGACCGCATATAAATCTGGAGAAAATATTCCACCCCTACATAAGGGTAACAAATAATAAATAAATAACACGGGTTGCCGCGATATTCTTGCGTAACAGGTTTTTTTTTATGATTTTGCCTTTTTTATAGGATAAGGGTGACAAACGAGCACACAGCCCACCTGATGGTAAGTGGTTGCTGTGGCCCATAGACATCTGCATCTATCCTCGATTACGAATCAAAATGCGGATGCGTTGTCAGCCGTGAGGACTAAGATGGAAAACCTCTTTTCCAGTAAAAAGGGTCTCCGGTTCTCTACACTCACCATACGAAACACAGCAG